GGAGGTGGCAGGCCTCGGCGGGGGCCGCGTGTCGCGCCGGGCGCAGGGACATCGCGTTCACCTCATCGCAGCGGCTCCCATCCCGCTTCCCGGAAAGGGGGGGTTGCCGACCCATGCCGGCCTTTAAGGAGTTGGGCAGCCTCACGGCAGAATTTTCGCTGCTGCTGCGCACGAGATCTGCCCCTTTTTGCCTTACAGGATGTAAATCGTTATACGGAAGTTGGTATTGAAGTGTTCTATTTTTTTTTCCTTTTAGTAACTGGGATGAGCCCTTTGTCACCGTATTTAAACTTGGACCCCAAGTACCTAGTACAGGTGAGAAGGTGGCTTGTATTTATTGTGTTGAACTCGATTTCAGTGTTTGCATGATCATACGTGAGCACCTCAAACCTGCAGTGCTGGGCACTGTGCACTGAAGTCTTGAACTGAAGAGCAGTGGAAAGAAACAATTTTTTCAGTATTTTCTGTAATATCAGATCTGTCTTGGAGTACTGTGACATCTAGAAGAAAATGAGCGCTGGTAAGGCAGAGGATAGGTTGGGCTGTTGTGTCAATACGAGCCTGCTGCTGTTGGAAAGAGATCTCCCTGCCCTGAGGCAGACAGCCCAGCACCACCTCACACAAGTGCTGGCACTGATCACACCTCCACTGAGCCCTTTCAATCAGTAAGAGCAGCAAAAATCTCTGCCTTCTTTTCATGGGTGAGTTTTCTGAACTGAGTTCTAACAGTTTGCTGAGGTGTTCAGCCAACCTCCAGATCTGATAACAGGCTTTGCCATCATGGCAGCTGCAAATTTTACATCACTGTCCTTATGTCATTAGCCAGCTGAAGGGAGACCATCATGAAGTAAAACTAGTAATTTTATTCTGTAAAATAATGTAGCTGTCATTCGTGCATATCTTAATATTAGTTAATACAAAACGAGGCCATCATAAAAAAAAAAATCAAGTAATGTTTTCCTTTTTCATAAATATTAGCTGTAGCTGAAAATGTTTAAATTAATCCAAGTTAGGATGAAAGTCAATGATTTTATTTAGTATATTTCTACATATATGGCTCATAATATCTTAGAACATGAAGTTCTGTAGAATTAGCACTTAAAGGTCAACAGTTGCATAGTGTCTCCTAACTTTTGTGCCTTGTTGCCTGGTACGCTGGGTCACTGTTTCTTTTCTAAGTGGAAGTTCTGCATGCAGTTCTGTGGCCTGGAGCTGTTGTAGTCCAGATTACAATGTAACATTCCCAGAAGGCTAGAGAACCACAGCTGTGCCTCTGGTGGAAGTGGATTCAGTACTGTGGCTGCTGTTGTTGAGTGGTCAGAAAGAAGCTAAGATTATTTAGACTTTCTCCAAAAACACTCTCTAAAGTTGTTTTGTTTAGAAAGTTTGTCTGAGAACATGTTGGTGTTAAAAATTGTGTAGCAGGGATTTTGGAACAAAATGTGTGTGTTTACTAGGAGATTTTAGAAACAAAGGATAAGTTTGCTTTAAATGCAAAGGGATTGGCATTTATGTCATGATACAGTTCTAAAAATACCTATTGATGTAACACTAGAGTCTGCAGTCTTCGTTGTAACACTTCTCTGCCCTTCATGTTTAGCACTAGTGTGTTGAAGTAATAGCAAAGTGCATTGAAATAAAATAGAATTCAAGTTGCCCATACAAGCAGTGAGGTCTCCTCCCTTAGAGAATCACAAGACATGGGAATGGCTCTGAGTACCCAGCACTAACTGACCCTTCTTTTAACAATGGGGATTGCACTAAACAGTCTCCACAGGTTCCTAGGATTCTACATACTGGAGGAAAAAGACATGGCTAGTATTTCAGAATATAAGAAATTATTAGCCTTCAAATTTGGGGTTTCTGTGAAGGTGCATGTAGAGGGAGAGATGAGGTTCTCCTGGTGTTTAAAGACTGTTTGTTTTCAGAATGCAGCAGGAAAGCCAGCCTTACTGTTGAGAAGCTTACATTTGGTTCATAATAACAAATCCCATAATAACAAATGGTACACTGGTACTTGTTACTTTAAACCTCACATTTCTGGTTGGTCTATGAATGCAGGCACAGAACAAGATGTTTTCTGCAATGCTGTGTTGCAGCATTGTTATAAATTGCATTTATAACAGCACTTGTTATGAATTTGCATGTCAGCCTTTGGCAGAAGCCTAGAGGATGGGCTTTTCAGGTTGTCTCTAGAAACTTAGATGTTACTTAGGCAAGGATTGCTTCATCTTGACTTTTGGGACTGTAGTGAAAACTTAGAAACTGCTGACTCATGTAAATACTGAATTATTCCAACTGTAATTACAAATAAGATATAAACCATATTATAGGTTAATTTTATTGGTAACACTTCACAATTTTAGGATCTATTTTTTTCTGTATTGCTCTTTGCATTCAGTGTCAGGTATGGGCCAATAAAATCCCTTAGAATGCATTTCCTTGAGCCTGCAGCTGTTTGAGTCTTGTATCAGTTAAGTAGGGGCGGATAATGCTGTGACTTAAGTACAGGAGCTTAAAAGAGATCTGCTGCTTTAGCACCCTATCAACAATAGGTATGTTCAGTGTCTCCTGCTGAAGAAGTGCCTTGGCACACCTTATCTCTATACATATCCCAGTTTCTCTAGGCCATTTCTCTAGCTTTTTAGACCACTGATTTGCCAGAACACAAGTGTGTCCTTGTGGGAGAAAGATGGACAAGTAAAAAGTCAACCAACCTCACAAAAGTGATGCCAAATCATCACTAGTTTTCAGTGATTTCCCTGAGTTTTTCACATCCCTAAAATAGGTCACTTAGTGCAAGGAAATACCTCTTTTCATAAAAAGGCAGTTTTTACTTAGTATCAGAGTAATTGGAAACTTAATTAATGTGCTATTGTATCAGACTGGGTTGCTCAGTGAGGAAACAGTGCTATGTAATCAGACAACAGGAATGTTTTCGGAAGGGTTGTATTGCCTGCTCCAAGATGTAATTAATAATTAAGCAAATAGTCATAGAAAACAAAACCAGCCAACAGCCCACACAGTATGAATTCCTTGGCTGACTGATGTAATTTATAAAAAGTTAGCACAGCTGGGGGAAAAAAAAAAGGCACTCAGCCAATTGACCTTTTTACAGTCCTTTTTCATGCATAATACAGTATACACATAGTACATTCCATCCTTGTACTGCTGTAGGCAAGAATTTTCCAGAAATACTCATCCATCTTTGGTTTACTGCATGGATTAAGGAAAAATGAATATGGCTTACATTTTGAACTAGACTTGGAAAATACAAAAACATTTGTTTTTGTTTTCTCCCAGGATACAGATGAGTTTATCTTGCCCACAGGAGCCAACAAAACTCGAGGCAGATTTGAGCTGGCCTTTTTTACCATTGGAGGATGTTGTATGACAGGTAGGTAGTTGTGGTTTTCACTTTTCCCTGTGTCCAGCTGTCCAGGTAACACCTATGTACTGCAGTGATTGATGAGATTGTAAATGTCTTTCTCTGCAAAACATTGTCTGTTCTAGTCTTAAATAAAGAGATATTTGGTTTTAGTTTATACACTGAATTCTATTCTCAATATTTACTTCTAGTATTGTTTATTTTTTTCTTCTTAAAAACTAATAACTGATATTATTCCATCTAGGGGCAGCATTTGGTGCATTGAATGGTTTAAGACTTGGCTTGAAGGAGACACAGAATATGGCATGGTCAAAACCTAGAAACGTACAGTAAGTGTTCCATGTAAAAAAATGTACTTCTTAGTAACAAGAGTTTTTTCTTCCAGTTTATCAAGGTTAGATCTGAAAATACTGCAAAAATAAATGTTTTGGGGTTGTTTTTTTCTTTAGTGGGGACAAATGGGAGTCAGTATTTGTCTTGATCAAGTTATTACATGTTTTTACAGGGATGTTCAGTTCAATATTTTTGCTTTTTACTTAGTCACAATTTGCATGTCCTGTGACTTAACTTATATATTTGAAAAATAATTACTACTTTGATGTTCACTAAAAACCTACTTCAAAGTCAAAGCAATGCTTTTCTGTGTAGAAATATTCCCAGAAGCAGCAGTGTTTACTTTGAGCTATTTTTTGCTGTAATTTATCTGAGCACGAGTCTCTCTTCTTTCCCAAGCTTTTCACAACCAGGATAAGATTCAAATGCAGAGCTGACCCTGCCTGGATTAGCATTAGGGATGACATTGGTGCATGCTGCTGAGCAGGCATTGCAGGGGGGAGCTGTTCTGGGTTATGGCATCTGTGAGCACCCATGACATTGCCATGTTTTTGCCTTACCTGATTTAAAACCAGCATTTGAAAGAACGCAGCAAAGACAGGAACATTTGTTTCAATAGGATGCCTCTTCTTAAAATAATGGTAGCTTAGACATAGCCATAGGAAAACCTAAGTGAAAGAGTCATTGGAAACCAGAAAAAACATGGGAAATTTTCACTCCCAGAATACTTTGGATCAAGGGAACTTTAGAAGAGGAATTTCATATTTCCTGGTACAGTTTATATTGGCTCTGCTCCTTTTTAAATTGTTTCTATATTCATCCCCTTCTTTATTAAAATATTCAGCACTATAGTTTATGACTTTCATAATGCTCTAGATGAGCATAATTGTATTTTAGGGTTTGGAATGAGCAGAGTTGGACAAAGCCATGATAATCACAAATTTTGGCAAGTCAAGCCCAGGAGGTGGCAGTCAATGCACACTCTGCTCTTATCCTGGCTCTGCAAGGCAAAGGTCTGCTAAAGGTCATCACCTTCCATTAGTGCATTAAGTTCTGTTTTTCGCTCATCTGGCGCAGAGAACAGACTTGATTAGCTAGATTTCCTCCAAATTTATCCCTAATGTACACACATTTCTTTCCTAATGAATTTTAATTTTGCTGTTGTATCAAATACCTCACCATACCATGGTTGTTAGAATTACTGATTCTCTTATCAATTTACAATTAATATAAGGTTCAAATATGGGAATTGTAATTAAGGAGAGGTTATCAATACCCTAGCCTTTTAAATTTTTTTTCCTTTTGTTTCAAAATGAAATGTTCCATTACTGTTTACTTCATTGCCTAACTATATTCAGTAATGACCTGTGTCCTAATGAAAATTATAAAAAAGGAAAAACAATAGAAAGTTAAATCAGAAGGAACATAAAGCAATGAAAGTGTGAGACATTAAATGCCATTCCAGTTCCAGTGGTAGTCAGCTGTCCAGAGCAATACTGTGCCTGTGATAGTGTTACACTGCTGGGAGATAAAGATCAGTCATTTCTTCTGGCTGCTGTTGTCACCATTCTGGAGACAGTTGGTGGCAGCAAGAAGTGGCATTGTGCTTCCCTGAGAGCGCACTAAAGGTTCTCTTTTCCTCTTTAGTGCTAGTCTGGAAGCCTACACACAGACCATACACACAGACATGCCTCTTGGCCTTTTGCTGGGTGCACAGATGGGATTCTGAGGCACTGTCTCTTTCCTTCCTGACTTGCTCAGTCCAGACTTGCTTTATTGCCCCCAGCGTTTGCTCAGGCATCCCCACGCTCCCTGACACATGGTCCTTGTAGAGGAGCACTGAGGCTTTCTCGGAGACCTTTCACCCAGCTAAGTGTGCATAAGTGTATCCCTTATTCCAGGAGCTGTGTGTAGTCACCATGGAAGGAAGGAAAACTCAGCTTAGAAAGACATTAGAAGGGAAGAAATTTGAGTCTTGGGAGAGTCAAGTTTGCCTTGAAAACTTTTCTTAAGACTTGACAGGACTGAATATTGCTTTCAGAAGCTTTTAGTTCATCACTTCAGTTTTATTAACTACATATATAATGTAAACACAGAAGCCCTACTGTCATAAACACTGCCTTGATGTAAACACAGAGTGCTAAAGGTTTTCATACCTCTTTAACTTCTTTATAGAATTCTAAATATGGTGACAAGACAAGGAGCGTTATGGGCTAACACTCTGGGATCACTGGGTAAGTAAAGTCATTCCTTCATAGGGAAAGGAATTTAAAGATGTAATTGTTGGGAAAGTGTATTTGTGTGTTATCTCAATAAGAGTATTCTCTAAATTTTCATTATTAAATCCATCAGGAAAAAGAGCAGGTTTTTTTCTTTGGGGGCTTGAGGGTATTTCAGTAGACATGAAAAAAGAAATTAAAGGCTAAAATAGGATTTGTAGCCAAAAGCCTTTAATTAAAACCCCATTTTTTTGCATTTTTTTACATATTATAAACAAACTCTAGTCATAACAGAAATAATTAGAAATTACAGATAATGTTTGCTTGCTAATAATTTCCAGTTGAATTATAACTTACAGAAAAAAAATATAATTTAATATTTCTGAAATGACTTTAATAACCTACACTGAGACTGTGTGGTCATATGATCAACTGCCCAATGTTTCTTTCCTGTTATAGTTAACAAAATGTTTATGTGAAGAAGAAATGTGAGACTCAGTACAAAGATTTATCCTTTAAATGATAGTACATTAGCTAGAAAAATCATACATGATACCACTGACTCTAAACCTAAATGTTGCTTGTAACTAATGAGGGTTAGGAAAAAATAGAAAAGAAAATGACCAATGGTCTGATGTAAGAGAAAAAAACTTCTATGAACTGAAGTTTGGGTGGGAGGGGGCTGTGAAATAAAATCACATCAGTTGCCTCAGAAAAATGAGATTATTTCATAAAAGTCAGTGAAATAATTAATGCCCTAGAAACTACAATTTTTTTTTTGCCTGCCCCAGTCTTCCACAATCTTAAAAAATGAAAACTGATGCAGTAACTTTAAAAGGAGAAATCAAAAAATTGATTAAAGTATTTTGAAGAAAAATAATGATGGAGCTTGTTGTCCTGCAAAGTTGTAGTAGAAGTTAGCAATATTTTAATCAGAGACTACATCATGTTATAACCCAGTCTACATCTGTTTGACTTTTGAGAAATGCATCAAAGCATAGGCTGAGTTGCATCTATGACATTTTATTTCAATCTTATTTCTGAAGAGCAGATTAGCTGACATTTACTTTAGGCATTAGCTTTTGGGGCATAGTATAGATGGTTGGAGGTTAGGCATGGTTAGAGATAGGATTTTGAGCTACAGCAAGAAAGCCACTTTTTCTATAAGAAATGTGTGTTGCCTGCTGAGTTTTACTGGGACATTTTTTGTTTGGATTTTTTTTCTCTTTTTTTGGTACAAGTCTAACAAAAACATGTCTGAGAACTGAGATGCAGGCACACTGCAGTTCAAGGTTTAAGTGACACATTAACAGGTTTTTTCAGCTGTGTTTGAAAAAAGATTACTCAAGAAAATGTTTGTGCATTCCACTAACAAATTGCTATTTTTCTTACAAAATACGGCCTCCAAAATCACAGAGTTAAGCAGAACTTTATATCTGGGATTCTGGTAGACCTCTGTCTTGTCCTAGCTCCCAGAGAAATTCCTTTCAAGGAGCTCAATTATTTTTGCATCTTACTTCACCTTGTGCAGCCTTTCCGTACCTCAGAGATTATTTTTGTCACTACTGACAATTTTTGTCATTCTGTTCCTGAACAGAGGCAACAAATGTGGAACTGTTTTAAAAAATTATGTTTTGTTTTCTTTCCCTCATTGTTAATATATTTGCTGCTAAGACAAAAATACCCTTGCCTGTGCTGAATGGAGAGCAATGCTGCTGTTAACTCATTGACTTCATTATGGTTGCTTATGAAGAATTTACTTCCTTTTAGCAGAAGGAAAGATTTCAAATGCTTGGAGGGCAAGGAAAGAATTAAATGACATTACCTTTATCACTTCTAAATGATGACATACTCTACTGTTCTTTGCCAGCATGAAATATGAATGAGGGGTGAGCATGGGGGACCTTTTCCTTTCATCAAAATTCATAAATGACAAATGCATCCATGCTAGAAAGCCCTTGGACTCTTACCTAGTCCTTTCCAGGACAGTCCCTAAAGTTATCCCAAAGCAAAAGGCCCTCTGGGAATAATGGTTTCATGCACAAGCAGAGGTGAAATGGCTGCAAATGTCAAATATCAAGCATTCCAATAGTAATTTTTTAGAGGAATATAGTCCATTGTACTCCAGCTCTTGGTAGCATTATCTGAATGTTGTACTTAACTCAAATTTCATCACTGTCACACAGGACAGCAATTATCTCTGCCTAGAAAGTGATGGGTTTAGTTTCATGTCATCCACAGAAGACAGTATCAAACTGGCAGTTCAAATTTAAACCCTGAATTTTCATGCAAATTCGAACCAGCAAAACAGGCTTAAACTTTAGTCAGTGCTTTATAGCACATGTAATGAAGAACGCTACTTTATAACCAAATTATAGCTCAAGCAAAAAGAAATAGCTGTATAGAAAGAGATGTGGAAAAGAGACACCAATGATGGGATTTTGCAGAGGATTCCCTTCAAATAAGCAGCAAATCTGTTCTTCAGAAGCATGGTCTAAATAGCTGCACCAAGCCTGGATTCCAAGCCTTGGGCCTCAGACCATGGAAGGTTTTTTTAATCTTTTTTTCCCCCCACCCAGCTCTACTTTACAGTGCATTTGGAGTCATCATTGAAAAAACACGAGGTGCAGAAGATGACCTGAACACCATAGCTGCTGGAACCTTGACAGGAATGCTATACAAAAGCACTGGTACAGTAGCAAAATATTTCTCCTTTTCCTTCTCTTGTGCTTATCTTAGTAATTAGGATTCTCATTACTTCTACTAAATACTGTCCTGCTCTGAAAATTGACAGTGTAAAAATGGCTATTAGCCCAATGTCCCCTAATCCATGTTTTTCACCCAACTAAGGCTACTTAAGGAAAACTTGCACTAAAAAAAAGTCCAGCTGAACTAAATTTGATTCTTTGAAACTGCACAGGACTAACAGTAACCATGAGAGCCAAATTATGACTGTTGTACATATATACTGAAGAAGCAGTCTTTTATTTCCTCAGATATGTGGTGAGGTTGTGTAAAATACACACCCACCTCATTCCTAGCCATGTTTTCAGCAATAGCAGGAATAAAAGTAATTGTTCCTCAAGTCCATGAGTGGGTGCAGGCAAATGGGAATTGCCTTCCAAAGTGAATGGGGACAGGGAAGGAAAACAGAACACAGAGCTTGATTTCATGAAGATGAAACCTACTACAAGTGATCCATGTGATAGTAATGCACATGATAGTGGTACCTGGAGCTGCAAAAACCCTACACACAGAGAAACTGATGTACTTATGAAATTATTACTAAGGTGTTCATGAAACTGCTGTCTTATGGTAGGATTCTTGTCTTTGCATAGCGGTCAAAGCCAACAAACAAGTTTATTTGAGAACAGCATAGATTTAAGGTGAGTTTACTGATGCAACCTGAATTGTTTGCAGGAGAGAGGGTCTGAGCTTCATCAGCAAAATGGCTGTCAATACATGTTCCAAGCTTAACAAGTGGAGGAGTCGTCATTTTTAGAGGATTGCTGGGTACCACAGGTTGACAGTGGCACATGGAAAAAAGTTTCATGTTTTAAGTAACTTAGTAAATGTTTGGCTGGATGACTCACATGCGTTTTATGGAGGAGATAAAGCAAGAATTAACCTATGTACTTTTGCATATCTAACTGAGCCGCAGTGTCTTAGCAGTGTTCCTGAAGGCCTGCTTCATGTATGGGGCAAAACAGTTTGAGTAACTATTTTCCTGATGGCTTAGACTACCTGAAGCCAAAAATAATTGGCTGGAGCAGCCATCATAAATATGAGACTCTTAATTTTGCAAGGGCACAGAGCTCTCCTGTAATCCATTTCTTCCTTGGAATTTCATGAGTGATATGACAGATTACCAAGAACAGCCAGAATGGGTAGCATATAGAAGCATATAGAAGCCTAATATTTTCTGTAGGAGTTTATTAACAAGGAGAACTGTCATCTAATACTCCAGCAGAAGCATCCCCCTTACCTTTCTGAAGTATAGAGCTGGCATTATGTGTAATCTTTTTTTGGCACAGTGCAACCATGGATAACTACTCCAGTCACATGCACAGTCATCTGACAGCACTAAGGTTTTTATTACCAGAGCACAGTGGGACATTTGTTTTGTAACACAAGATCTACAGAGCTAGTGGCAGCCCTGATAAAAGCAAATTAAATCAGTAAATCTCTATTCATTACAGTATTGTATTTCAAGTGTGTGTTGGGCATATGAACCAGAGCAGTGAAGAGAAACTGTTGCCTCTCCTATCACCTTATGCCAGAACACCCTTTCTTCTTCTGTATGGTAAAACTTAAAAGTTCTGCCTTTACACTGCATCAGTGTATATATTTACCTTAAAAGCTTGACTATTTAAACCATGCAAAAGATCAGCACACATCTGACATATCAAGACTGTAATAATCACCTGTGTTACATGGAATACCATGACATGTTGGCATTAAGAAAATGTAAAAGCTTGCCAAGGACACTGAGTTATAAATCTCCATATTTTAGTGTCAGCTGGAAGGAAATGGGATAATGTATGGCAGGTCTTTTATAACTTCATGCTTAACCATAGCACTGATGGAGGAATCACATCAGCAGCCCTGATGCACTGCAAAACACTCCTGTGTACACTGCAAAACCTAGATTGAATTTCTGAAACCAACAATTAAACATCTGATGCATGGACAGGAAAAAAATGTAGTGGGAAGACTTTGTTAAGGCTGAGATTTGTTGCCCCAAACTGGTCCCAGTTTTCACAATTTGTCCTTGTAGAAGTGTTAATCATTACCAAAATGGCAGCAGTCAAACAGAACGTGCACGTTCTAAAGCCATTGATTGTGAGCAGTTTTGTGTAAAGCTACTTGACACAGCTTGTGTGGGAGAAGATAAGAGAGGATTGAAAGCTCTGCAAGGAAGGACAGTGGCAATTCAGCCCCCTCCCTGTGTTCACTGGCAGTGCCATCACTCATTGAAACTTGCCATTGAAGTGACTGAAGCAGTTCAGTCCCCATTAAAAGCAGGTGATAGCTGGGCTCCATCTCAGCAGTACTGCATGGCTTAGGTCATAAAACACCTGTTGAGTGGGAATGGAAAACTGATGTGAGGGGTTTTGAAACTACTTCTTGATTCATCTGACCAAGTGATCTCCAGCTTTTACATTTATTTCAATTTAAGTTTAATGCCACAATTACTGACTAGATTTTAGCCCAAATGCAGAAATAAGAGTACATATTAATTTGTTACACCAGTCTTACAGCTTCATGGGAGAAATTTTGTGAGCTCACCACTTGACTTCCACGCAGGACATTCAGTTTGGGTAACAGTTAGAAAAAAACCCTTAGGATTCCTCTGCCAGTGGCATATAGAATAGAAATGTTACAGCAACTCAGTTAATTTGAGTTTTGCTAAAAGGGAGTCTGATATCCTAAGTCCACAAGGATGGCTCTTCCGTTTAATAAGATACTATTCTTTATTCTTCAATTTTAAGCAAAGGCAGAAATCAGTATCTGTTATGCCGTGTTTCTTCTGATATATGTTACAAAAGACAGATATGTCTTAAAACAAATGTTTAGCCTCCTTGCATGCGTTTCCAGCCTCTTTTTTAAACTGACCATTTTTATTTGGTTTTCTTATAATTGTATTAGTCATGAAAGTAACAAAAAAAAAACACCAAACAGAAGTGATTGTCGCTGTGCACCATGTTGCTGTTTTACCCTCCCATCATGAAAATGCATGGTTCCAGTTGTCACAAAGGTACAGCTGCCTGAGGCTCCTACAAGCATGCAGGATTAATCACTCAGGAAAAGATACTGAGCTAGGTGGGACTTTGGCCTGACCCAGTGTGACAGCAATTAATTTCTCACTGGAATTCCTGACAGACTTCAGTAAGCAAAAAAGTTAACCGACCTTTACCTCTTCTCTGAAGTAGAAGATCTCCACAGACTGCAGATATTCTTTTTCTTGGATAATTTTTTTCCTCTCTTGAGATTAGGGATAACAGCAACAAAAGTAAACTAATTCTTTGGACAAACAAAATTCCTTTGTTTACTTTCGTGCAGTAGGAACCCAATCCTAGGTACAGCATCTCATGCCTTTGAACAATAGACATTATATAATTTGGTACAGAAAATGGTGTGTGTCTGAAAAATTACATGCTAGCAATAGATGAATGTTATTTTAAGACCTCAAAACACAACCCTGAAAAGTCAGTATGTTATGAATTAGGAAGGGCTAAATGTTTTATTGCCAGCAGTAAAATCTGGCTGAAGCTAAAGATCAGTTTTGTGACATCCAGTGGGTACTTCAGGGCAGTTATGTTAGCTGACAGCTTCTTGAGCTGTAAAAGGCCTGTTCTCTGCGCCCAACCCATGTTTTCCTTTGGGCCAGACAGGGCTGTTTCCTTGCTCCTTTTGGCTGGAGAGGGGGAGAGAAGAGCTTTGGGGGGAGTGCTGTAGGTACAGGCCTGGGATATCCTACTCTTCTGCAGTATTTAGAAAAAACTGAAGAGCTTGCTTGTCATCACTTAAGTTTATGGCTGGCATTTTGGAAATTTAAGAACCCCTTTTCACATAACAAGTCTGTAGGATTATCAATCAAATGATGTTTAGAGAAAGGATTTTTTTTTTTAGTCTGAAATAAGGAAGAGATAAGGACAACGTACAAGCAGCACTACAGGTAACACCTTGTTGAGCCTTTCTTAGTTACTTGAGGACTGATGTCTGAGAGTGTGTGTCGCCACTGAGCACTAGCTCTGCTAGGCAGGAGCAGTGAACTCAGAGCTGCAGGGGTTTGCAGGTGCCATTTACAGTAGCTGAAGTAGCCTCCTGTCAGTCAGGTGCTGCTGCTTTCACTCAGTGAGAAGACAGCAAATTTTAATCATGTTTGCAAAGTAACTTCAACAGCTCTAGTATTTCCAAACCAGTAAATTAAATTGTAGATTCCTACTGCTTTTTTCTAATTTAGCCTTCATACCACAGTAACTGCAGGAAATGTTCCCTCTTTTAAGCTTTGTTGTTTCTGTATTCTAAGCACAGTACTGCCTTAGCTGCAGCAATGTGAAAAAGGAAGATGCTTTTCTGGAATATATATTGCTTCCAAATAGAAGTTTATCAGTTTCCTCAGTAATTTATGAATCCACTGACTTTGCCCACTGCTTACAAGATTTTATGAAATGAACCCCATGGAGCAGCAAGAGGAATCTCTTGATATTTTCTAACGACATCAGGCCACCCACAGATGTTCAAACAAATGACTGCTTGGTGGTTCAGATGGTCTGATTACTGAGCTTGAATATGGAGCAAAACTGAGATTGCTTTGTATACTTGAGTCCTTTAAACCATTTTGAAGTATTCTTGTTCCTGAAGGCCCAGAAGGAAGAGAAGCTGTTTTCATTCAGAGTATCCAAGAGAGATTGGAGGGCAGAAAACTAATTGCAATTTAAAGATTATTCTTCTTTTGTTTGGCATAAGTATGTGGGTCTGAGGTCTTGGTGAAGGTATTTGTAATGTTTGCTGCTGGATGGTTCTTGCTTTAAACATTCAAGGAACTATCCCAGGACATTGAAGTAACATTCTGAAAACAGGGACCGTAAGGTTCTAAATGGAAGATTCTGCCCTCACGGTTTTACCTACGGGACAAGTGCAGCTCAGAGTTAGGAGTGGCTCCTGCCATGCTGGAATGCAGAGCTATGCTGTGGGAATGCTGTGAGCTGTGGCACAGTGCACTGGGATGCAGAGCTGTGCCACAGCACAGTGGAAGCTGGGACCTATTGAAAGGCATAGAGGAGGGGCAACACTTGGTGATGAAAGGGTGCAGCAGCTGAAGCCAGAGAACTAACTTCCCATTTAGAGAGCATCAGATCTATCTTTGGAAACCCACAGCAGTTCTCAACTCTTGTGCAAGGTGCCTGATCTCAAAATACCTGCTTCCAGAAGTGTCTGTCAGCTGGAACCTTTATCTTACTGGGACATGCAAGATTAGGGGCTCACTGCCATGTCTCAGCAGGGCTTGTCAGGGCAGACTTGGTATCAAAGGCTTGCAGAGAGTGATTGCAGAGGAGGGGTGGGAACGTGTTCTATCATGCAAACACAGCTGGGATGGGAGTGGAGAATTTATTTTTTATTTTGTTAACAAGTTAATTTTCTCAGAGGCCCTAAGATTTTCTGACCAGTGACAGGGCTGCATTCTAAAGTGCATTACTGTTTGTAGTCTTCCACAGACCTGGACACACTTACTCAAACACAAATCTGACCAGTTAGGGAAAAGAAAATTTTCTTTCCCTTTTTTTTTCTTTTTTGTAATTACTTTCAGTAGTTCAGAAACCAGGGGCAACTGCTACAAAAAAACCACAAAAAAACCACAAAAACAAAAAACACCCCAGCATTCTGTAGCAGAAACATTGTATGAAACACTGGTCAAGAAACACTTCTTGCATGTTTTCTTGGATATCTTCTCTCTCAGTCGTTCACCTGTACCAACTGCACAAGTTTAGTACCCTGTTTATGAAACATCTCCAGCAATGTCCCTAAGTTGTCTGCAGGCCTAGAGGTGGCTTTAAGCCCTGTGGTTGACTTGCCAGGAGGGTCAGAGCTGCCATCCTTACCTGACTGGGTCAGCACATGAGAACACCAATATCTACTGTGGTGGGAGCAGCACATCTAAAGTCCTCATACATGGATGCTAGAATAGAGCTTGGCAATCCTAATGAAAGATGACACCTTTCTTGTACAGCCCTGACTTTACAGAATCTGGACCCAGGCTTGATCGTCCTTCAACTACATGTTCTTGCATAGGAAGAATTTTAAGGATTTTAAGGGGAAATGAGAGGAATTGAACCTGGGGGATGAGCAAAGCCTCACAGTTCTGTAACGCATTGCATTCTGTGGGGATGTTCTAAATTTCCTTGTACGCCTGATGGTCATGAGCCCCCTTTGGGGGTCCCTGCTGTGATCTCTTGAATCCTGATAGGAACAGGACAGAGTTGGGCTCTAATGTTGTATTCATTTACCTCAGCAGGAATGAAGAGTCAGTATTTTACAGATTATCTCAAATACTTGTTTTGTACAAAGTGTCCTTTAAATTTCAGCTGTGGCTTTTTGCCAGACACTGCTTGCACATGGTTAGTTTTGTGTACCCAGCTGCAAGCCCTTCATGTGAAAAGCTTTTTGTGCAACAAATTCAGGATCAATTATCAAGCACAGACATCTACATTTGCTTTCCTAAATGCTGATTTAGGCACATAGATCATATTCAGTAGGGCTTTTCTTAGAGCTGTGAAATTCTCAATAGCTACAGCAATGAACTCAGCCTTACAGCCTAAAAACCTCTCAAATTGTCACAGCTGGTCTGTCAATTAAATTTTTAGAAACTATGGCTAGACATGGCTTCTAATACCAAGTCCCATTTCTTGTTTTCATTGCATGCCTGGGCAGTACAGGGGGGTTTAACAACTCCAGTGAAACCCATTTAACCTTACAGCACAGTTAACAGTGTCAGTCTAGCTGATGCCAACAGCTTCTTGTCTCACTAAAAGCTTAAAAGCAATTCCGTGAGACAGCTTTATGACCCATAATGGAAAGAAAAAAACACAAATACAGTCTCTCTGATTACTGAGATATATTTGTTTTCAAGTTTGAGAAACCTGAACTGCTCTGCCAGTTTCTCCAATAATGAAAGCAGGGTTTTTTATCTTGCTAGCAGAAACTGGCCTTGTTCTATATACACTGTACACATTATCTAGCTTGGTTCAGCTGCAATGATAAACATTGCAGAATCAAGCTCACTGAAATTTTCCTAGCATTGAGGGTCAAATGCCCAGGTGTTCTGTGCATTTTGGGAGCTCTCTCAAAGCACAGAAATGTTTTGCTGTTTAGTAAAAGCAGCAGAAGTCTCTACTTGTGCCCCTGTGCATCCCAGTCCTTATGTGGATGGAGTGGAGGTAGGATGCTGCCTGACTCCCAGCTCCAGCCAGGTGCACTACCTGCAGGCAGTAGCCAAACTTGTCCTGTATTTCTCAAGGTGCTCACCAATACCTTAAGATTTCCTGTGTGACTCTATTTTTACAATTGCAAGGAGATAATTCTGATTATTAATAAAAGAATAAAGAAAGCTGTTCAATATACAACACAGTAAATACCTGCCAGTTAACCCTTTTCATCTACTTCCTATTTTTTAATCAAAAAGTTTTAAAATTCCAAAGACACAAAAGCATTTACAGGTTTTGTATGATGGCCCTAATGAATCTCTGGAGCCCAATGTCATGTCCCTATCAGCTGCTGTTTTGTTCACTTATTTGCTGCCTGCCCAGAGCTAATTATCATAACTGAAAACCTGAAGGCAATCTTGAAAGAGTAGGAGAGTGTGTCTAACTGTAAAAAGAAATGTAATAAGGACAGAGAGAATGGATTAAGTAGGACTTGGGAAAAGCCACCTTGACTTCCAGTCCTCCGTAATGGTTCCCTGAAGCAGTAGTGCTAACACGGTTTGAGAGGAAGTCATTGCAGCAGAATGAGTGTCAGGATCAGGAGTGAGTGACCATGAGCCTGGCAGCAGGTGTGAGAGGAAGGCAGAAAAAGCACAGGGACTCTTTCTGGAGATTTAGCTCAAGAAAGGACTGTCCATTAAGATGCCTCTGGGTTTAAACAGCTTCGTGGAAGTTGCTGCTCACTGACCATTTCCTGAAAGTAACACTAATGAGCTGCAATGTGTTTTGTTTTTCGCAGGTGGAGTGCGCGGGATAGCACGAGGTGGGATCGCAGGCCTGACGCTGACCGGCCTCTACGCCCTGTACAACAACTGGGAGCACATGAAGGGCTCCCTAGCCCGGCAGTCCCTGTGAGCAGGGCAGAGGACACGCTTGCTTAGTCACCAATCAAATCAGTTGTGAGATCTATCTGGTGCCCCTTGCTATTTTATTTACAATTAGTGTGAAACTGATGGAAGCTGTGCTGGAAGGAACGTCTTGACACCGTGTGGCTGGACTGGCCCTTCCTGCCAGCCAGTTGCTGGACAGGCAACAATATTTGTTGGACGTGCAAGTGAACAGAGTGGCCATGGCCACCGAGACAGTCTCCCTGCCACGCTCCCCAAGCAGCCCTGGCCAGAGCTGCCAGGCATGCTGGGTCCCCATAGCTGCTCCTGCTCGCTGCCAGGTTTGTTGGGTGCCTGTAAGGTCTGTCCACAGAGCATTCCCAGCACCTCACTGGCCAGGCCAGCAGCACAGCCCCAGTAGCCATGGCACAGGCAGGGCTTGCTATTCTGACAGCACAAGGCAAGCTAGCACAAGGGACATCATCAGAATAAAAAGGGTGGTCTTACTCAATACCATTTCTATCCTTTGCTCTTCCTGCTACAAAAGTGTGCTGCATCCAGTGACCTATTTATGGATTCATTTTAAAGGACCAGTGTGGTGAAATCCTGGGGGAATTGGTGGGTGAGGGGAAGTGGACAAGCAGTGTGGTCATCTCTTGATGGGTGGTTATGGTAAGGCACAGCAGGGCTTGACTTCACTCCCTTATTTGCTCTAACAAATAAGGACCTGGTTGTTTATGGATGAAATACAGTTGCTGTTGCAGAACAGCTGCCAGTTGATTATCAAAACATTTGGGCGCTCCAATATCTGAGAACTGATTCAGCCAACAATTATAAACCAAACAGTATAAAGACTGCACTCATTACCTATTACAGAAGTTTTAATTGGCAAGAAAGTTTTTGCCTGAAGTGCCATTCATGGGTTATTGGTGGAATAAAGACTGCGATGAACCTACATGTTCTCCAGTGTTAAAATTAAACCATGTACCAAGCATCATTTGCAGATAAATTAAACAGTAAGTTGGGAATTAGTTCAGCAATTAGAGTTACTGTATAACAGCTCATTCCTTCCACATTTAAATAAGTAAACAGGTGAATTATTAAGGGAAGACAGGGAAGGCAGAGCTAGGGAAAACCAGGAAATTAACTGGTCAGTAAACAACTTAATGCAAAACAAGTTTTTACATTTGAGTTTTTGCTACTGAAATGGCTCTTAATAATTACATTGCATACACCAAAATAACAAAAAGCAGTAAAGGGAAGGCAGTAGCTCTTACCTTCCCCCAAGAAGTACCACTTTGCTAAGAAGCCTCATTGGCAGCAAATAACCACTGAGACCAGCTTTTAATAGAGCAAGTCTCCAGCTAACAAGCCCTCATGGGTGAATTCAATCAGCCTTGCTTGGATACCAGGTCAAATTAGATGCTTTATGCCAGCACTTAAAGTAGGATAAAGGAAGCAGGCCTTTCTCACCCCCTGTGTCAATGCTGGTTTTTGTTACGCCTTATTTTCCACAGTTCCAGTGCTCTGCATGTTACTGTTGTGGTGTGAGAGCTGGACTTCCTTCCTAGCATGCATTTTTTGAGGGCCGTACCACCAAAGAAACTGTCCCCCACTTGCAGAGGGGTAACTTGGGCTTCATCTGCACAATGCTGTCACACAGGACATCAGAAAAACACATGCACTTTATCCTGAGCTTTTTCTTTCCCCACTGGCATCAGTGAGTTCCTCCCCTGCATGTTTCCTGGTCACTGTTGGTTGGACTTGTGTTCCTGTACTCATGCTGGATGAAGGATTGAGAGCTGCTTTGGGGGTTGATGAGGGGCAAAGGTGGCTTTTTAAATGCCAGGAACTCTGCAATATATCTTAGGTTTTCTAAAGACTTTTTCAGGACTAAAAAGTGACCCAGGAACTGTCTGCCCTAATTGAAGCGGGTAAACCATGAAGCTTAACAAGTATTTCCTTCATCAGGTGCACTGGAGATAACATAGAAGCCTTTTCAAATTCATAGCACAACCTTAAGGGTAGGCTGACTCTTGAACAACTTAGCATGTTATCTGTTCTGCAGTGCACCCAGATTTCCTGGAACTGCTCGCTTCAAGGGCAGAGCTGAGAGCATTTTTCTGAAATAGCTGAGTTAGAGCTGTTAAAAGTTTTTGTATAATCTGTTTGTATATGGAGTAATCTGTAGCTTGAGCTATGAAACACAACCAGCACAGAGGCAGCAGTTAGGGAGGTGAATTTGTAAGATACAATACAGAGAATGTGTTTACAATATTCTGTGACATGACGTACTGCATTCACGGTTTACTTGCAATCAGTATAAAATTGCTACTTTATATTGTGACCAAAAATATATCCAAGTTCAGTAGGAATAAAAGGATGTAAAAATCAAGTTGAAAACAGGATTTGGCTCAAATTAGAGCCTTTACATGCAGTGTTACATAAATGTGAGCATGGGAGACCTTGACTGTCTTGGAGGAGCGGGGTTTTGGTGCCAGTTGTGATGTCTTTGGTGATAGATCCAAGGCAGCTTTCCATGCTGTGGCACCAAGTGAGGGAGCTGAAACAGCAGGAATAGTGGAAGGGTTTTGAGTCTTGTGAAGCTGGTGCTGCTTAGTCTGGAACAGAAGGGCAAATCCACTTACACCATTCCCTGTCAGCAGGTGACTTCTGTTACTGTTGGAGGAATTTGTTTAAAAATTACTGCTTAGGAGGGAAATCTCTGGACACCCTGAAGCAGAAGCAGGTTCTGAAAACAGAAGGCAGAAATGTTAGGGCATATAAACAACCCCATGTTCATAGTCTGTTTTCTGTGATCTAATCTGGGACTTCAAAAAGAGGGGGGAAATCCTTTTGTATGCTTTAACAGAAGGTTAGCCCTATGCTTAATAAATTCTAGATAGGAAACTGGTATGTTTAAAGTGGAGCTTTGTGCACTGTGTGAGTACTGGTGTGTGCCATTCAATGCCAGCCAGTGCAGGGACACCAGAGGGTACCCCAACCCTTTTTGGTACTTTCCCAGCATGATTAATACCTGCTCTGTGTTCCTCACAGGTATTTCCCCCTTTGTCAGCCCCCCTCTCTCTGTGCCCTGTGGGAACAGCTGCCCCACCCACTCCACAGCTGCTCTGAGGACAAGGAGTTAAGGGGCTGGTGCCCCTGGAGCCTGTGGCCACCCTGCTCCAGCGAGGTGTGGGATGGAAGGAAGCGTTCCTCAGCAGAGGGCATCAATCTCATAGCTCAGCTTGTTCAAAGAAAGTGCTCCAGCCATTTGAGAACCCATGAATAACATTCTCTTCCTGCTAGTCTGTCCTCCTTGTCTTGGGCTAATTTTCCCTTTTCCCCGTCTTTGAAAGCTAAACATGTGACTACTAACAAAGAACTTCCAGTCCACTTTAAAAAAAAACGTGTGCACACCCCCACAGGAAGTTTGAGGTACCGTGGTTGAAAGGCTGCCAGGCCCAACTGTAAGTGTTCTCCTAATGAACAATACAGGCTGCAGTTTAATTACTGGAGAATGCTTAGTGGAGGAACCAATCACACAGAGAGGCTGATGCTCAAACAGCAGGGAGAGAGAGAGGAACTCGGTCCAATTGCACAGGCAGATCATAGATGCTGTTCAGCCATGGGAGAAGGGGACCAACTGCTACTAAAAATCCGTAAATCCTCACTAAGTATTTGAGAGTAGCAAGAAACAAATGGGTCATTTTGTCCAAGTCTATTTCTTCCAACATCTGAGCAAATCCCAGGTGACTGAGACACCCACTGCATGTCCAGGGAGTCACAGTGCAAGGCAGTACCCTACAGGAGTTTCCAACTAAGTGTGTAGGATTGTGCCAGCTCCCAGAGGTTCCCTGCTCTGGAGCTCAGTGCAGCTCCAGGCAGTGGTGAAATGAACTAAAGCACAAGTGCAGCAGCTTCCAGACAGAGGCAAACTGCACACGTGCCACAGCAGTTTGTGCTGGTCATCTTGTAAATGAGACATAACACACACTTTGGTTGCAATTATTTTTTTTAATGGAAAAGACTAATCAATGTTTTACATAAATATCAATTAGTGACAAGAAGTCAGTTGAGTAAAGGAATACATACCCCCAGGTTTTAAAGGCTCATAATGAACTGACAAAGTAGCACACAATGACAACTACGTGGAATTAATTGGAAGAGGTGGGCTGCACGTCAATCACCTTCATTAAGTTCAACTGCTAATCACATCAGGCTGTTACTGGAGTAAGTCACAGTGCAGTCTTCCCAAGCAGCAACAAGGACATGTGTGAAGGGGAAAGTGGACTCCTAAAACACCTCTCTGCCTCCAGCAGAAAGCCCTGGCTATGAAAGTACAAAAGCCTCGAAGTGTTTTCCTGATGTTAAGTCCTTTCAGGGTCTGGTTTCAGATGTGCAGTCTCCCCTTCTCAGACTAAAAACTTACTTTTAAATGAATGCACAGGATTGATCAGACAGGAATGTGTTCACACTACAAAGTGACACCAAGGTCAGCTCTTAATAATTTCTTTTCTACAGGGTTGTGAAGAACTCAAATTACTTTTATTCCCAGACAGGCTGCAGGGATGGGGAGAAGAGGGCCTTTTTTTCATAGTCACTAAGAGCAATTTGTTAAGTGAGTAGAAGCTGCACTAGAAACTATGGAATTTCACAGTTTTTCCATGGAGCCTGACAGGCATGATCCACGTTTCCATATAACATCTTTGCACTCGTTCCTACAGGCTCAAAAGGCTAAATATCTGAAGAGGTATTGCTCATATTATGTCCACAGCTTCAGGAAGATCCGAGTTACTGGACCCCACTTTCACATACATAATCACATGGAAACCACAGATTAAATACCTTTAAACTGCATCAGTGGGAGCCACAGTTTGCCAAGTTAGTGTTTCCCAACTAAACAGCATGACATCAATCTGCTGAAGGCATCTAATTCCCCAAATATTACCTTTAAATTTTAGGTAGCTAAGATGCCTCCTTTCCAGTGGTTTAGTCAATAAAAATTCATTATGACTTATCTAGAACTAACAGAAACACACATTTCATTTTACAGCTTTTTCAGTGACATTCAAATAGTTTGTAAATGCTGGGGATAGTAGGGCCTGATCTACTGGTGCATGAAAATTAACACCCTACCCTGTTCTCTGAAAGGCTCAAAATTCACAAGTTTTGATTTAAAAGTAAGTTACCATTTCTCCTGTCACGTGTTAGGTCCCATAAATCCATGTCTTTTTCAAAGTCTGGATTTTACATATTTAGCTGGGAAATGCACCAACACAGGACGCAAATGAAACCTCTAAAGTGAGCAACTGCTCCATAAAACAAATTGCTTGCAAGTACAGCCTAAATAAGCTGGAACCCAACGCATGACGAAGTTGTAGCAGCTGAAAGGGACAGCAGCACTTCTGAAGTCACTGTCAAAGGTGGACGTTCCACAGCACCAGGAAGATTCTGCTTTATACCTGCCCCGGCTTCAACATACTTCAAGTGACAACCCATTCAAGATCCTTGTATTCCCATAACATACAAATTTGCTAACACCTCTAAAGCATCAGATTGCTTATGGTCAGTGGGTTTACATTTCAGAATTAATGACAACGAAAAGGGATCTTCTGCACCATAACTCTGTTAGGTAAGAAATTTTTCTTTTTGTTATAATTTTAGAAGAGAAAGCAGACGGCCAAACACAAAACACAAGCACTCAGCTGGCTGCAGTCACTCAGCGTGATGTGCGACTGATAGCAGGAAAGGGATGATTTCAACACTTCCAGTTCTTCACATCTAAACAAATTTAAAATAGGGTTATTATCTTTGATAAACAACAACACTTTGAGGAAAAACAAACTACAAGATACCCTTGAAAAAAGTTATATTAACATTACTAGAACTGAATATCCTGCCTTTTAGGGTTTGAAGTACTGCTAAGGACCATTTTCATTAATTTCAAAAATAAGAAAGAGTTTATCATCAGAAAGAAAAAACATGATGTCAGCTGTAAATACATTACTAAGGTAAGAAAGAAGCCGCCTGGAGATTGACACATTAATTCTATATCTTGGTTACAGACTTACCAAGTGTCAATCAGTTGAGAGATTTACACAAGAACAGAAGTAATTCCCTTCCTGGCTTGTGATAGAAGGAGGAATAATAAAGGAGACTGGTCCAAGCTGTTAGAAAAGTCTATGAGGGCATAAATTACTACACTGTTAAACTAACATTTAAAGAATTGAAGATGACCATTAGCTGCCAGTGTCTGTTCAAGTGATGACTAGGTTCAGCTGTTCTAACACATTCTGTATCCTACCTGTAAAGGAGACCGATACAGCCATTTTTCGTTATCTCCGCTGAGTTTCATACAGGCAAAAAGGTCACAAACTGTAGGAAGGCCAAAGTCCTGAAAGAGAAGTTATCATAATTACCAACCCCAAACATAAATACATTTTGATGTATCTTCAGCTTCTGTAGTGTTCAAAACTAAAATCAATTCTTGAGTCTTTGAGATTTATGCTTTCTTCATTTAGTATAACATACTAACTTGTTTAGTGCTAAGTATCTAATAACTGTGAAAACATTAAAAGAGCCAAGAAACCTAAAAACTTTCAGTCTGTATTATCCAGAAGAGCTACGACTTTGGAAGAGAATGAAGTCATTAAACTCAGCAAAGCAATAAACCTGGCACATAAGACACAAAAGTATCAAAAACTTATGCTCACTTGTGCTTTCTTGCGCAGAAGCCATTTATCTTCCACTGGAGGTGGGTTTGCATTTTCTAGGTTATTTGAAGTCAACACCCAACTGTTTACATTTAAGGGGAGGTGGAATGGAGCCAAGATGTCTAGGAAAGGACTCTTGAAACTCTTGTCTGCTTTTTCCCGACTCTCCTTTTCTTCTGTGCTTTCTGCTTTGTGCTCAGTCTTGACCAGCCAGCTTGTCAGAGGCCTCTCAAGCAATGCTTTCCAGGGTTCTGCGATCTCTGCTGAATAATCTGCTTTCTCTGCACTCATGGGTTCCCCTGGGAGCTGTTGTGCAGGGCTAAGCCAGGAACTGGCAGCAAACTTGGTCTTCTCATGCTCAGGGTCTGGTACATCTCTCTGACTGACCAGAACTCCATTTTTGTCCTTCCCATCTTTCTTCAGAAGCCATTTGCAAAGAGCCTCTTTTCCACAGTTTTCATCACACACACATTCTGAAAAGCTGGCACATAGATCATTAGCTTTGCACACATCTTCCACTTTAAACGGGGCCTGAGGATGCTGAAGAAGCCAAGCATTTACAGCAGATGTAGTGGATGATTTTTTTCCATCAAGATGCTCATTCAGGCACTTCAGATTTCCCAGGTTCTCAATTTCCACACTTTTGCTCTGGCTGCCACGACAACTGGTACATGTTTCAGCTTTGAGGAGCCAATCATTCAAATTGCATTCTTCCCTAAAAGGTTTAAATTCATTCTTCCATTTCTCATCTGAAGCAATACTTCCATTTTCTGTGTCAGGAGTAAGCAGCCAGTCAGAAAGGTCCATCTCTTCCTGTTCAAGGGATTCTAATTCCTCCACCTTTTCAATAGTGGAAAAGGATGAGTTGAGAGTAGAGGTGGAGTCCTTGCGACCAGGGGAATCTGTCTTCCCAGCAACATCACACTGCTGATTGTGCAGGAGCCAGTTCTCCAAATCCTTCAGATTTCCCCAGGCTTGCTCAAAATAGCAGACTTTGGAAGAATTGAAATCCTAATAAAGACACATTGAAACACATCTATTAAAACTAAAAGGCAATGTTCAGTAACTGTTTGCATAGTTAGAGCTCAGAGCATTCAGCTAGTAAGTGCCAAAGCATCAGTTGAACATGAGGCAGAATGAAGAATACTAGAGAGGGTTTCATTCCCACCATATTCCATAGGGAGCCTGGCGCACACCCACAGGTCTGCTTCCGAGTAACCAGTCAGCCAGCGAGGCACTCACTGTCCCACACAGCATCTGCTGCTGAAAGAATGTCCTTGGTTAGGAGAAATACTGACTGCTGAGCCAATCTGTGCTGAACATCAACACAGGCATGCAGCAGGCATCAGTATTTCTGCATCAAAAGTAAAAACAGTCCCCTTTAATTACAAAAATCCCATAGGAATTGGATAGTTCCAACATCAAGAACATTCAATTAAAAATATCCCATCAGTCACACCCCACATACATTTTCATACTCTGTTCTTGCCTGTCTGTTCCTGGAGCAGCTGCAATATCAGATTACTCTGCTCACCATAGCCACTGTTACTGGCTACTCAAGCATCTTAACAAACAAACACAAGCCATTACTCAAGCTCACATAACATGCTTGAGTTCTCCTCTTCCCTCTAATGCAATTAAACACTCACAGACACAGGGCAATCTTACCTGCTCACAGTTCATTAGGGCACAATTCTGCCCTGGGAACCAGGGAGAAGCATTCTGTCTCTCTGAGGTTTGCTAAAAGAAAAGTAAAAATTAATTTATATCTCCATTTTATCCAGTTTCTAGGACAAATTCTACAATAAAGCAGAAGTAAAGCACAGTTACAAATGCTTAATGCTTTATGGCTAATAATGTTCTCAACACTTACAAATGGAGAAAGACTGACTACCTTGAGCCTGCTTCCTTTAACAGAATTGTCTCAAATAATACAGGAAATATGTCGCTTACATAAGAATCCCAAAATACTTTTATCACAGAAAACATCTACAATGTTTTAACTATTGCAATCTAAAGAAAACAGTAACAAATTTTCATTTGATGGAAATAGAGTAAGAATGCAGTAGCCATTCCCTCATCCTCTGCCAAAATACATTAAAATAACATGTGCTTAACTAAGCTCAGTGAAAACTACATGCAATAATTAATAAACCACTGTGTATTTATCATACAGCTAAAATTATATGATTCATGCACAGGATCCATTCAAGCTGTCACTAAAAGCAAAAATATCACTTGGAATATATTGCACTATTGAAAAAAAAAAAATCTCTGAGGCAAGTATTCCAACCCAGGCAAGTCCTACTGCTTACCATCGTTTTAATGGAACCAAATGAGGTAATAGCTTGGCGAAGGTGAGATGTGTCAGCCTCAAAATTCAGGATGGAAGACTCTTCAGGTTTAAGTGTAAGACTTCCCAGTCTGAAAGAATAAGGTGGTAGTTACAGAAAGGAAAAAATGTTACAATCTTTATCCATCCTGTTTTGGAAGTCAGTCCATTATTTCATAAAAAGGCTTTCAAGCTAATTGGCAGTAACTAGGTAAAAAAGAAGACTTTTGATACAGCATACAAGAAAGGAATCACTATCTACAAACCAAGAACAGAATAAATTGCCAGCAAAACACAAGTTTCACCTTCTTACTTCAACTGCCATCAACAACTAGTATTTGAAATAATCTGCATAAATGAGTACCTCTCCTGCTCATTATAGTCCTGGTTTATCACCTCAGACTGCTTTAAAGTTCTTATTTCTAGGAATTATTAAAAATGTAGGAACAGTCAGATCTATTATTAGTTCTATTAGAATGAAAAATCAGATTAAATTCATAAACTAAAATAAACCAAACTGTGTTAACTTGCATCATAAAACAGCTTTACCTCTCCAGGCAAACTGCAATCTGGTTTGCCAGTTCATTACTGTAGGAGCGTTCCAGCTGATGAATAAGGCAATTGAACTGTCCCAAGTACTACATGGAAGACAAAACACACATTATTGTTTTGGCCTTCAGAAATAAAATTGAGCCAATATTTGCAAGGACAACGTTAGCTTGAAAATGCCAGTGCAGCAACTGACAACCAAAGCTCACCCAGTAGAGCTGCTGTGCCTGCTGCTGCAAGGCCTCCTCTTTGAGCTGCTGGATGAGATCCACCTGCTCGAAGAGCCACACCTCACGGCTGCGCAGGCATTCCAGCTGCCGGCTGATGTGGCTGTGGATCTTGGCCTTGACCTGTCAGAGAACACACACCATGTGTACATCTGTCAAGCAGAGTGAACCTACATGTGCTGCAGTGATTACAAACTGCTGTTTGTCAGTCGCAAGTGATAGTTTTGGAGTTAGTTATTTCTCAAAAATTCATCGCAGTCACCCACAGCACCACATGACTCAGGTCAGTAATAGTTCCAAGGCTACCTTTAAAGAGTTATCAAAGAATAATATTCTTTGTAATCTCTCTCTATTCTGAGGTTTCAATCAACAGCTTTCTGGAAATTCTAGATGCCTAAGTTAGCAATATAGGAATACCTTTATCAAGAGCATGGCCAAATGACACAGCAATGTGTTTGCAAGTTGCAAAGAAAATTTCAATCCACCATAACAATAGTAAATATTCTGGAATAATAAAAATTCAATTGAAGTCTTGTTAGTTATTAAAAAATCTTTAAGAAGTAATTTAAAATTACCTCCCGCCAGTTTTCTTTAATCTGCTGTTCAGCTTTGACAATTCCAGATATAGCTGTTTCCAAGTCCTTCTTTGCTTGAAGGCACTTTGCCAGAGTCTCACTGCTGCAGGAATTTCTATTTCTATCTTGTGGTGGACTCATTCTTGAAGTGTTCCTAAAACACAATGGAAAAAACCGATTTCTTAATAGTTTCTATTCCTCTTTAACAGAAGAGGAAGGGCATCATATGAAGAACCATCTGTTTTACTTCACTATAGAGGTGAACAAAACAGCCTCTAAGACCCTACAAAGATGCAAGTTTTCTAAACATAGATAAAGCTCTCCTCCAGGAGCAATAACAGTGTCTCAAACACTTCAGCCCACGGAATTTGCACAATCACAGGAAAACCAACAGATATTTGATAAAAGCTTCAGCCACAGGAGTTTAGGCAATCCTCCCCTGCCAGTCACCTTCCTCCAGCTTTTATGCCTAGCCAGCAAACTCCAGAGCTGAGGGGCTGATTCAGGGAAGGTTCAGCAGCAATGCTGAAGCTGGGGGAGAATGGCCTGGCCAGGGACAGGAAATATTTCAGTCATCCTTTTTTCCTCTGCAGGCAAATTAGCTGATTCCCATACATGAGAAAATTCCAATACAGTTTCATCAATTGAAAACCCACATGCTACTATGAAGATCACTCTTTAGTAAGCTGCAAAGGCCAGAACTTTTAACAGCTACCCATTATTTTGTTCTGGTCACAGCTGTGGTAACTTAGCTTCAGCACAGTCTCAAGAAAAAGGGGCTCAAATACAAAATTTCTACAAAAGTTATATTATCAAAGATTCTGCAAGTAAGGGGAAGAATATAGTATTTAGTAACTTTTAGTAAAGATGAGAAGGATCAGCGTAAGCACTTTTCCTAAATAGTGGGTTATTTTGTTACTGAAGAGTTTGAATTCTCCTGTCAGTCTCCTGGGATTCCTAAAGCACTAAACATTCATAGTATTTGTTCTATTTAAAACAAGTCCTCAGCAATGACAGCTATGGAAACTCCCAGCAGATTTAAAAGCGTACACATGTGCCAATCTAAAATGTCAGAGATTTTACCACTGCTCTGGAGGGAACTGAAAGTAGTTTTGAATATGACAGGACAACCATGAGCTTGTGGTACTGAGCAGCTATTTAGTCTGCAATTTCCAAGTCCCACGATCATATAAAGTGCAACTCAAAAGTCCTTCTCTACAGCCAAGCTCTACCAGACAAATATAAAAGTGTGTTTCACACAGGAGAGGGCTAAAAGTGGCTTGCAAGTGGAAGGTGACAGAAAAAGCAATGTTTGCCATGGGGCAGGAGCAGAGGCTGCACCCCCCTTAGTTCTCTCAACACCGTGGGCCTTCCTGTCTCTCCAGCGCCTCCAAACACAAGACATACACGAGGCACAGAAGCCACCCCAAGACCCTACACGTAACTCAGTCCCATCCTCACCATAACATCTCATCTTCTAGGAACTCAGAGCACAAATACAAGAGAAGAGAACTCAAATGTAATCTTTAAGCTTATGTTATTTTGCATCAAATCAGTGCAGAAGTCCAAAACACATAAAACCCCACGCTGTGCTATGAATGCCAGTTTTGCCTAGCTTGTTCACAGGTTCACTTCTGTAAAATTTCATGATCTTCACCATGTCAGCAATGTTCAATAAAAGGTAAGCTAAGCTTTTTCTCACAACACTCCCTAGACTTTGTCTTGCTTTTCAACTCTCATGTACAACCTACAGGAAGTAGGAGCCAACAGTGTAAGTGGGAGCCCTAGCTCTCAGATATAATCTAACAAACAGAATGACAGCAATACACCCAACCAAGAAAACAAGGACCTTAGATACCTTAAGAACTATCACATAGTCGAAAGTAAATTTAAAAATTCATACTGGTTATTATTTCATTTTTTATATTCTTACATAACAGCGAGTCAAAGTGTGAAAGACTAAATAAAACTACCATCTTTGCTCCCACAGTAGTTAACATACTTAACAACTCTTGCGAAAATTATGTTAACCTACTTTATCTGTATTAGCAAATTCATAATGGCACAATTTAATTTAAGCTTACACACACTTCTCTAAAATGATCTCTGAAATTACTGTTTACTTTCCCTTTTATCGATGATTGCAAGAGACTTCCTCCAGAATGTACAGAGAGAATGAATGCTGCCTTCCTCCAGCCAGCCAGCTCCTGTTAAAATGGCTGTTCTTAGGCTTTGTCGCAAATAAGCCAGTAAAACTCGCATATTGTGCATGAGAGCCAATCCACCCTTCCTTTCAATTTCCACGAGCCTCTAACGAAACTAAGTGGAGGCAAGCACCTATTTCCTTGCTCCCAACTACTCCCAAATAGAACTGAGAATTTAGACATTTTCAGGTCACATGCTCTGAAACACCCACGATCACACACTTCGGCTCAACAGTAACAAAATACAATTACTTCTGCAAGAAAACGCACGGCTGCAACACGCCGTCACCTGCTCTGGCCATTTCTTTGCCATCAAACTGTTTCCAAGCACACGGGGGTCCCCACCAGTCCCTGCTATGTGCGTCACGGGATGCACACACCCAACACATGAGCTCGCACTTACTTGCCGCGCTCAGAAAGCAATCCCGCAATGTCCTGTTTATAAAGCGGCTTCCATTCCCAGGCACGGCCTCCGGAATGCTCTCCGGAATGCTTCCAACCCTGCAAATTCCGCTCCAAGCCCTGGCTCGCCGGAGCGGCCCCGCGCCTTATC